ACTTGGATTTGATTTTGGATGATAATTGAAAAGGGAGTTCAAACTTCATTACTTACAGTTATCGAAAATAGTTGTAAAAAGTTGTATGGTACTCTAAGGCTAGCGCAATGACGATGGCTTTGCTTGAATCACAATGTGTAGAGCGCATAAAAACAACGGTAACTGTCTATTTTAAGATATCAACTATAATATATACAATTGCATACATTACGGCTACAATAGTGATAAAAATTTGTTAACGTAAAGCAATAACTTTCGAAGATCATGATAATGAAAAACTGAATGCTGTCTATTTTATTTAGGATTTCAGCTAAAATATATACAATTCACTACATTAATTGCAATATTACTGCATATAAAATGATTAGATTAGTGTAGATTGAAAATATTTAAATTTTTTCCTGTTTAAATTTGATTTTATGCAGTAAAACTGATATAAACTTAGTAACTTTGATATAAAAAAACTGACATAAGATGATAAACTGATTAAACTGATATACAGTTGATAGAATAACGTTGACATTATTTATAAATTTACTATTCTGCATTTTGGTTTTTTGAAATTTGTATTACTTTTAGTATTTCTAAGTTAAATTCATATAAGCTGAATGAATAAATTTTTATTCTATTCAATTTTATACTTCAAATAAATGTTTTTATGGGTTATATATAATGTTAATTTAAAGTTGTGCGCATTAAAAATGTAAAGCAAATTTATTAGTTTAAAGTTATATAAATTTAAAAGTATCAAAATAGCAAATAGGAAGTAAATTTATTAGCAGAAATGGAACAGCAATGGCAAATTTGTGTAATGAAAATTGTTGAAGTGTTTAGTGACAGGTGGTGATTGCAAACACGTTTTCACGTGATGTAGAAGTGATCGATGACTGGGTTATCAGAGCTTTTAATGATAAAACTATGAGCAATCAACTTGAGGAACACTGCAACCGTTAACGATCATACGTAGCACCTAAACTTAAGCTCTCACATTCTTTAATTCTAATCACTACAATCTCATTCGAACACTTTTTGTATTTTACAACCACTTGAACTATATCTCTTTCCTTATTTTGTCGCGCACTTAATAAAGTTTTTCACGTGGGTCTACATTTACAACAATTTTTACACTTAGGTACGTGGTCAAAAGACATTTTACTCTGAATTTTTACTCAGTACGACGTATGTTGTAAAAAAAACTTTTCACTGAACTTTATCTCAGTACTTAATAAATCTTGCAATCTTGCTTGATTTCATCTTTGCTTAAACTTTTGTTCTACTCTTTTTTTAAGCACTAAATTTCGAACTCTGCCCAAGTATTTTTGCATTTTACAATCGTCCAAGTTTGATTTCTCTTAACGTTCATTAGATTAAGTTCTAAGCTTTCAACTCTGTTCTTACTTTGATTGACCTCTGATCTTTGCATACCATTTAAAATCAGGGTCATTCCTTTTTTGAATTACTTCAAAAATTTCCATACTTTTGTTTTTTTCTATCTCATCTTTTTTGAAGTGTACTGATTACTTTGTACGTCAACTTTTGATTGTTCTACTTGAAGTTTCTGTTTTATTGATTTCGACCTCTGAACTTTACTCGAAAGCTTCTGTACGTGACTTGGACTTTCTTAAATTCTGTTATTTTGCTCTAGTTTAAAAAATTAAGTTACTTTGTATTAGATTTCAGTTTACAATTTTTTACCTCGAATCTATCATACTAAATTAGTTTACAATGAAATTATCCCAATTAGTCAAAATTTTATTTTACAAACGTTTATTAAGCGCACAATTTTTTATATCTACTGCTGTTTATTAGATTTTACTCTTTTTTGTGAATTATTTTAAATGAAATAATTAATGACTCATATTAATAACTTGAAAATAATTAACCATCAGTACCATTTATTCACTGTCATTACGAAAATTAAACGAAACAGAATTTAAGTAACAGCATGACTAGTATAATCTCAAAATAAAAAATTATAATTGTAATGGTAATTTCAAATTTGCTCATTCCAATAAATAATAATTTGAAAATATAAAAATAGTTTAATTAAAAGAAGTAGATAGTAGATTTTATAAATAATAAACATTAAGAGTTTAATTTTAATGATTAAACAAAATTAATATTTAATATATTTAATTAATATTAATTGAAAAAATTTGGGGAATTAGATGGTTTTGTGTAAGATCTTAACTTTATTTTTGATCTGTTGATAAACTTTTATGAAAAATTACTTTGTAATTAAGTAATTCTTCTATGCTCTTCAAATTATAGTCGATTAATTTGATATGAAAAGAAATAATAATTAAGTAACGGAAAAAATACGCTGTAGTGATTAAAAGTTGTAAGTGAAGAAATGTTTTCATCAAACATTCGTTCTCAGCTGCCCTCGAAGAATATCAAAAATAAGCTAAAACTGATAAGCAAAAAATAATTTTTAAAAAATTTTCAGATTTTTGAAAATGTCTTTAGTCTGAAATTTTAATAATTCTTTATTCATTTGGCAATACTTTTAAATTAGCAGCTTATTTTTGAATAACTTTGAATGTGTAGGTTTGTTTTGTTAGAATTTTAATATTTAATCAATAAACTACCAAACAAAGATTCTAATAAACCTTCATGGAACACTAATTTTTACTTGTTTACTATATTTCAAAATCTGTTATAAATTTAGATTAATATTAATTTAAAATAGTTGACAATATTGTATATATTACGTCGCAAATCAAATCAATACTTAATTATTAAATTCACCAATTTCTTGAATTCCACTTTATGTGAAGTTATAAAATTTGATTTGCGACGTAATCTGTTAGTAATATTCTAATTTTAAAAAGCTATAAAGTGTTCTTGATTTCTGGTCGTATTTTTGATTTTTACGCAACTAATAAAGCAGGGTACGTAAATGCTGCATGTAAAATTTAAGACTATCATCTAAGTAATGTACATAACTAATTTTTTCAGTACCAAAAAACAGATTTTGGTTAAATTTGTTTGGTTATTATATAGCAAAATATATTAGCAGTAAGTTAGTCAAAAGTAATAAATTAGATTTAAAAAAGTAAGACTAAGAAATTAATAAATGAAAGAAAGTAAACTTTTGTAGCAACTCTTAGATACAAAAATATAAATATATTTTTGTTATAACGTATAATTAATGTTATTTAAATTTGTGATTTTCAGTTTCCATTAAAAATTTTTCTATGTGATATTAAGTGACCTCATATTACTGATCCGTAAAATAGCCAATGCATGTTGAAGTCTGTAATTTAAAGCTTTAAATATTCGTCTTACCCTCATAGTACGTCTATACTGCTATGTTTACGTAGCATATTTTCAGGTTCACGCAACTAATCGGCTATGTAGTGTGATAGCAAGAAAGATCTCATTCACTGCTGATAATTAAATATGCAAAAATCGCAACGCGCTGCAACTGCAGCAAAAAAACTTAAACAAGCAAAGCAATTACAAAGTTGTTGTAGTTGTTTGCATATTAAGCATGGAATTCTTATTTTGGGTCTTCTTGAACTTATTTCTGTAGCGTTAGTCCTTAGTGGGATTCTGAAGCAGTTAATCAACAAAAGTCGAAAGTTTAGTTGTGGTCAGAATCTGCTTTTCAGGTAGTGCTACTTTTTACATATTATTCAATACACGAAAAATAGACTTAGACTTAAAATTTCAATACTTTTGAAGGTAATCATGCAGAAAGAAATGCTTGAGAATTTTTTGTAAACATTTGTTCTATTTAATCTTACCATTAGGTCAAACTTATTAATTTTATTACCAATTTTTATTCAAATAAAAATTTGGAATGGTCATTTGAGAAGACCTGTGCTCACAATAGCTTTATGAATGCTTATTGCATTTTTTAATTAAAACAAAATTGGACTGAACATTAGAATATGGTTCAATATTTGGCCAGAAATTCTTCTTAGAGTTTTAAATTTGTCAAAAGTTTTGTAATTGAATCAACAGTTTTGTAAAATACAGTTTATCCAAATGGTAGAAAGGAATTATGTAAAATATTTATGAAAATAGGAAATTATTAGAGAATTAATTGACTTGCAGTTTTCAATTTTAACTGATTTTTTGCATAAAATTACAAAACTGTTGTCATTTTGCGTAGAAATAATTAGATAATCTTAATATAGACTTATAATTATTAATACATAATTACTAGTAATTAAATCTCTTCAATAAATTTTAGCAATGAATTTTTAAAAAGTTTCCAAAAATTCTCAAAAAGGATAGGAAATCTTAGCAAGAATATTCTGCAAAATTGACACAATAAATTTTTAAAAATGACAAAAAAAAACCGTAGTTGTAAGTTTTTGAAAAGACTAAATATTTTAAATTCAATGAATTCATTTTAGTTTGAAACTATAAAATTGTTTGAACACTAAAGTTAAAAATTAATAAACTTTTCATTTCAAATTTTTTATGTTAAAAAAAATTAAATTTTGGCGCTCTTACTGCAAAAAAGGTTGTTATTTCGTAGATTACTAAAAATTAAAATTAATTTCAAACTTAAATAAAATGTAATACAAAGTTTGTAATACAGTTAAAAATTTTAATTGAATTAAAATTGTTTTCGTGACTGTACCATATGGAATTTTGCAACATTCGACTGGACATTGGCCGGTGATTACTTTATCACGTTGCTGTTATTCACAATCACAATATGCGTATGTTAATTTTTGTTTTATTATCATTTTCGTTTGGATTATTTTCATAAAATGATTGACCTCTATGATTTTTGTAATACTTTATTATTATTATTATGTAGTTGACCTCCAGCAAGAAAGTCTGTCAAAGTATTCAAAGCAAGTTTATCACAAAGTCTGAAATAAATTCAAATATGAAAATATAATTTCAGATATTCACTTTAATATCAATTTTCTATTTATAAAATGTAAATCAAATTTCGAATTAACATTATATATATACTTTGTTAATATTCAATATTAGTTATTTGAAAAAATTTGAAACTATAAAAGATAGAGTAAATAAATTTAGGAAATACAAAATAATAATTTATCAAATATGAAGTATTTAAGTACTTGAAAAATTGATAAATATGATTATTATTTATTTGTCTTATAACTTATCAATTATTATTATTTAAAACAAAACAAATTAATTAGATAAATATTAAAAATATGTTTATGACTATTTTTTAGTTGATTAAAGCTTGTACAAATTATAATATAAAGAACTAAAATTGACATTGATATACAATTTTCGTTTGTTTTTTTCTATTTTTTAGAAGCTATTAATAAACAAACTATTAATAAGTATAGAAAATTTTTATTTTTAAATTTATTACATTAATAAAAATTGTGTTTTTATTTTTTGTTGTAAAATAATAAAATTTGTAGACTTTAATGTTACTAATGAATAGAAACTCAATTCGATATTTTATTTAAAGCATTTGAGTCTGCATTAATTTTAGAAATTGCAGAAATTAAATACTTTATTTCAAAATTTAGTAATTAATAAGGAAATTCATTTATTATTTTATTAATTCCCGATCGATACTGATCAGTCAATTAGTAATCATGATTTCAGATTTTACTGCTCTTCTTGGGGATAACGGTGGAATCAGCAAATCTATTATTACCACACTTAATAATACAGGGTATATTCCTTGTTTCATCGCTCGCATACTTTGTTCTTTACGCTTGGAGCTATTTCTACGGCGATTTATACAAATATAAAAAAACCTTCGATGTTAGTTTTATATTTTTGATAAGGAATAATTTCATTATTTTTGCCAGACAAACTTTTAATCTTTCATTTATTATTAAAAAATAATATATATCGATAAATAATGATTTTTAATTATTACAATTATAACAAATATGTATTTGATATTTATGGCACTAGTAATTTAATAATAAAAAATAAAATAAATATTTAAAAAATTTAATAATATAATTATAAATCAAATTTAATAATATAACTATAAAATACATTTAATAATATAACTATATTCAAGTTTAATTACTAATTTTTACAAAATTTTTAAATGAATTTTGATAAATTTATTACTTTCATTATTAAATTAGATGCAAATCAGGTGCTAATAATAACTGTAAATTTTATTAATTTTTTATAAAAAATACGTCTATTTGAATACTAAACTAAAAAAATGTAATATACATTTCACTGAAAATTTATTTTTTTCGTGTTAATTAAAATTTCATAAAATTATTTTTTTTAAATTTTTATATAATTTATTTTTTAAAAAGTGAAATCTAAATCTTAATAATACTTTGAATTTAAATTTTTAGTACAACATAGCAGCTTTATAGATGATCTTAGCTAAAAATTTTTATAAAACTTTTAAAGTTGAATAATCCCAATAATTGTCTGCTTAACTTGCAATACTCCAGATATCAGCCTTGCTAGAACGTATGTGGTTAGCAACGTTATTATTACTTCTTGCTGCTTTTCAATTTCGAATATTGTTTATTGTAATCAAATGCTATCTTTACTTACAAGTAAACTGTTTATTTTTATTTATTTTTAGTTATTATAAGTAAAAAATATTTAAATTAATTTTAATTGGAAAATTTTTATGCATAAAAAATACGCATTTAGACAAAAAGTTTGAAATTTAATATCCTTATAAAAAATAAATATTAATATTTCTAATTATGCTCATTTTGTATTTTTATAATTGTTGCTTTGACAAATATGTTTATCAAAATTATTTCGTATAAAATTAATATAATGCTTTAATCTTCAAAATTATC